CTCATCCGCCCTCCCTCGTTTAGCTGTCCCCTACCTGCTGATCTCTACAATTTTCAAGTCTTTGCACTTCCTCATCATCTCGGTCCCTCCTTACTCCCAGGTAGGACCTGTCACTTGATTATAAGCTTCCTGCTTCCTCTCCCTAAAAGTGCGTCCTTCCGATGACATACCCCGACTTGCACCCATGAAAAAAAAAACAACAAAGACTTGTCCAATATCTTACTATGTGAAGATACGTCTAACCGGCTAACGTTCTTGTCAGATGCCGCATGTATGATGACTAGTAGGATTGCTAACGTTCTGGCTAATGACGGAATATTGTCGCCCTTTTGTGCTGTGATACAATATTGTTGTCATCACCATCAGTTATACCCCGTGAATCTGTTTGTCTATAGGGGACAGGATGGACTGTAATGATGGCAGAGGATTCCGTACCGCTGACATTATGCCGGTAACAAATTTGGTTTTGAGAGCATCAGACAATGACGGAAAGGTTTGTGTCCTGCCTTCTACCTTGCCTCTCAAGACTAGCACGGAAACGGACGGAGGCTGGGAATGGGAGCTATGTCTTCGGCGTTTGTTGGGCCATTTGCTGGGACCAGTTTCGCCCAACGACCCGGAGATTGACTGGCCGTCGATTCCAAGGGAATCTGTGCACCTTGACGCGAAAAGTTTTACCTAGGCTTATTTCAGAGGGGCTCCCAAAGGTGAAATGTGACGTTTCTTTTTGCCTTCATTGATCTCATCATTGCCTTACTACGTCAGAAAACGCAACCCGAACGTGTCCTCGAACTAGATAAATGGGTTCAATTTTTAATGGTATTCTCGCCGTATGAGAACTTTAAAGGACCTATCTGGGTAACGATATGATGGAGCACGATTGACCAATCAGGACACAACGAACCTGACCTCTGACCTCACCTCCTGCTGTGGCTTCTAGTTCAACGAGAGTAGTTCAAAGGGCGTAACCGTTAAAACCGTTATCTAAGTTTGAAATCCTTATGTGGTACCGTGGAAGGGGTCAGAGCCAAGACTGCCTCTTTTCACATCATGTATAACCAGATGAGCAAACTGTCGGTCCGACGATAGACCTACTGCGAGACAGTGAGAAAAGACAGAACAAATGTAGCATTAACTAGCAAATTCGAACTATACTAAAGCATTGTTAACAAGTATAATCCTGACAATGCAACGATAACCAAGACCAGGGATCTTCTTTTCAGCCACTTTTGTATGGACAATGCGAAGTCGAGAAGCTGGTGCAGTCAAATTCACTATGCATCCATAGAACTTCGAACGGACCTTACTTACATCTTAATGCGAGAACATGTCCACTCCACAATAACATTCTAGCCAAGCAAAGCAATGGAAATGGCACGCCTTGATGCATGCATGGTAGATAACGGTTAGTAGAAGAATGTAAACATATATGGCACGATGGCATTATTCAAGACATTGGTCAGCCATATCTTATCATCTTTCTCAAGGCCTTGTACATGGACGAATACAGCAAATTCGAGCGGCAGTAAAAAAGGCTTCATGCTCAATGGACAACTTTGTCTTCCTAGGACGCTTCGTAAGCAACCGTACTCTGCGCAGTTGTGAAATGGAACCTTTCCACCACCTATTCCTGTCTAGTGCACGATGCATGATACACAGAGAAGAGGGAAAGGAGGACAAATAAAACAGTTTTTTTGTTACTTTTACTTGTTGCTCTTTTAGGCAACAAAACTTGTATCGTACCTTCTATTACTTAACCCAGATCATCTTGCTCACAACTAAATAAACGCTCTGTCTATGAAGAATCGAAGTGCAGTAGTTTCAAAACTAAATACCATCTAAGGATAATGACTTGAACATGAATAAACATTGAGAGCTTTTGTACAGAAAAAACGATCACTGTGGTAATTGATGCTCATAATATGACACAATCAACTATCGTGAATCGTCAACAAACTTTGTGAATCAGTCGAAGTCAGAACTCAGATATACACCATTAACAAGGATATCCAAAACGTGCATAGTAATACCTTTGGACATTAAAATGTTGGAACAAGAAATGCCTGCTTAGAAAAAAAAGGAAACACCATCACAGCTAGGATTTGCAGTCTTTGAAATATCCGTGTAAAAATGATCATGGTAAAATCGACAAATGTGCATTATAGCATTGATCAAGGCAACAAACTAGTTTATTACAATGTTTATGTACCAACAAACAATGAGCTCTTAATTCCTGTGAGCTAAACAAAGGTTAGAAATTATTTGCGACGTTAATGAGTATACGATAGCAATAACACAATTGTAAGATGGAGAATATCTGTATGATGTACTGTGTTCAGTGGTTTCTTCGCGTTTAAACCGTTTTGTTTGAAATCTCTTGTGCTGAGGTTCAAAGGGATCAAATGTGTTGCTTCGTTTCGTTGGGTTTCGTCTGCGCAGCCACGTACGAAATAAGCGACTACCAGGCCCTCCGGTCCTCCCAGTAGTAATTTTGGCCCCTTGTTATTTCTTACGTTAATTTTAACACCGTGACTAGGCACGAAAACAAAGTTAGGCGGGGACCCCCACCACCACCGTCCCACGAAACGCATGTCAATGCTGCAGAGCACAATGCGACGGGGCACTCGCCACACTCGACTAGGAAAGGGGACAAGCGCAACTTCGTGGCAAAGTGGATAGAGGATGTAAACTACAACAAGCACGATGGCCCCCCTCCGCCTAGGTTTGTTAGGTGAGTATGCGCGTACGTTTATGTTTGCATTCAATCTTTGAATTAACATAATTAAGGCTGAATTTGACATTTGAATTAAATAATCTATGCTATTCATGCATTTAGCTTATCTTTTATCATGCATCTAGTGTTCATTTACAGACAATCAACATTGTTTTTATTTAATTTACAAAGACATAGTACTTTTTTTAGTTCTAGAGTTTGTCCCTGTTTAAGGACAACTTTATGGTATGTTTGCGATCACCCACTGATTTCTGAGCTATGTTGGAAACTTATCTTAATGAAATCAAACGATTGGACCTATTACATTATTACTTCACAGTTTGTTTTCCGCAATGAATGCAAAAGAACATTCTTAGCACTAACGCTACACAAGCACAAACTGTCCCGGCATTCATTGCGGTAAACAAACTGTGACGTAATAATGTTTCGGGACCAATGACGGCCGGCCTTTTTTCCACAGGTCGGACAGCCCGAAGCACAAGGTGAAAATGTCGGCCAGCCCGGAACCAATACGTAGGCCTCAGACCTTAAAGGTGCGCAAATCCGACTCCTCTCTTTCCTCTAGTGGACAAAGTGGCCTCAAAACTATCAGGCCCAAAGAAAAGCCCAACCCGTTCGCTAGGTAAGCGCTTAAGTGAGACAAAGGATGGGGAGCTGGGAAGAGGGCGCGACCCATGGACAAGAGACCGACTGTGGATCACAGTTATTTCTGAATGACAGGTGTCTGTCATCACAAGGGACATGGAGGGAAATGGTAAGGCTCACGGTCAGTCCTGAACAAACTCGACAGGTGATCACTGGACTTGAAATCTGAATTCATTGCTTGGTTTCTATGATTATGAATTATGAACTGATGGTTATGGTACTTCAGGAGGAACCGTACATACGGTACTACAACATGCCCGGAACTGTCCGGTTTAATGTGGGGAGGGTATTGTGAAGTGTGGCACGTCTGTGGCCACCGCTGACGTGTTCTACTGCTCTGTCCTTCGCTTCCGTGTGAACAGTGGTAGAACAGTGTCTATCGCACGTACGGCACCCAGCTATCATCTGTGTGCGGCAGTATGGCACTGTCACTGCTATACTATTGACAGAAGCCAATATTGATACATGAGAATGAATAAGAATAGATCACATAAGTAGTTTCGGCTGTTTTTGATACCCAAGATGGCTACGGTAAGTGCTGAACACACACTGTGTTTTCGTGTCAAAACTGAGAAATTGCGAGACTTTGTGGCGAACGCGAGACTCGAATAGCACGACAAGCATTGGCGGACAATGCTTTAAAACTGATAATGTCTGTCACAGACGGAAAGCAACCTGGGAGAAACGTGTATCTTCTGTGGTAGGTCGGTGTACTATACAGCGGTGCATGACCTAACGGTAAATCGTTCCAGATCGACAATAAGATTAACAGGCTCAATTCTGTATATCAGCAAAGCTTCACGAAGGTGACCATGTATCTGCTTGGCATGCATAGTAAAACTTATGCTCTAGACTCCAGATCAGATGAGCCTGTGGACATGTGCACCGGCCGTTACGTTGTAAGTCCGTGCCCTGGCCGTCCTTCTTGGTTGCTTGCCTTCATTTCAGGCCACACCAAGTAATTTTTATGGATGACGTCCACGCGCACATTGATTTTGCCCTGTTCCCATAAAAAGAAAAAAAAAAAAATTCCGCTTCTTGTAAATATGACCAAAGAGTCACGACAGTGGGATAAGGGAAGATGTGATTAAAGCAAAGAAACAGGACTGGACGAAAACTACTGTTCCGCTGCATTCAGTGCTGTTTTGATGACGAATAAAAGACGACTTGTTGGTTGTTAAACTGTGTTCTCTCATTCAAATGTGTCCTAACATTTGTCGTCCCTTTGTATATCTCAAATCTAGGCATCTTGCTTTTTTTGCCCTTCTTGTTTTTTTTCGCGCTCTCGCATTAGAGTTAGGGTCTCCAGAGGACGTCAACCATAAAAATTACATGGTGTGGCCTTAGGTCAATATATAGTTTTCGCTATTGGCAAATCATATTCCGACCGATCGTTAGTGATAGCATATCTTGCTAGTCCATTAGCCTTAAAGAGAGTAGAAGTAGTTGGTTTATTTTTGGTATAAAAGCATGTTGGCAGCCCAAGGGCTGAATTGTACTGCTTCCTTCACACCGTTGACCGTATGTGTATCAAACCGAGATAAGAAAACTTTTAACAGTGATGTTGAACGGAGGGCACGGACATGCAACAGGCTTGTATATTCTGCGCCAGGAAAAAAATGCATACAAGAAAAACGATACTCATATCAACGCGATGGACACGGGCAGACGAGTACACATTACTTAGGGTTCTAAGGCATTCCTGAACTGACCGCCTGCGTATTCAAGTGCAATTTACACAATCTGTATGATATATGCACGGTATCTATGATATTGTACGACTAGCTGGCGAGTAGAGATTAAGAAAGACATAAACCATTCAAGGCTGTAGTTGTAAAAGGGCCGGGAAGCATCTAGTGATCAAAGAACAGTAGTGTATGGAAATATGTATCAGTAAGAACATATCGCTAGTTTCTGCAGCTAAAAATGACTATTGGCATCAAATCTGTGAGATCTCGTCATAGGAGTTGGCTTGAGACATATCAGATGGTCCATTGCGATGTACATTGTAAATTGTTCGATTGCAACAATAATTCATTTTATACAACGTGAACAATTGCTATTAACTAAGGTAAACACGTCGATGAATATGGTCGACGTCTTCTATGATCGCACAGTTAAGTATATCCTTTGTGAATACTCGTTTTATTTACCCTATTTATATACTCAAGCAAAATGTAATGAACAATAATTGTAAGGCTCCAAGAAATATTAGTATTCATAGATGATATTTGCAATTTTATTACCTTATGTGTAAATCGATTGACAAAGCTTTACTTTTCTATTAAATATGGTCAGCTTTCATACGATTGAAAAAAAAATTGAAGGTCAAATATGACTGTTGAAGGTCAAAGATGGATGAATAAAGCAAGCAGGCCAGGAGGGTCAACTTGTCTTGTAGAAAATAATGCAATTCCCGGCAGCATTGTTGGCTACCTCCTGTCCTCTGGCGTGCATGCTTATGACATTCTCGTTTTCGTGTCTCTTTTCTTTTCATTATGTAAGTTCTAGCGGAGGGATACATGTCTTAGCGAATCAACGTCGACGTTTGCACAACAAGGGCGACCTGATGAGTATTATAATGGATTTGCTGAGTCCAACACAAAGTAGGACCACTATCCTGAAGAACGGTTATCAACTCTACTGCCTATTTGGCTATAGCTGAGTCATTTGTTGGACGTCATACGTGTGATGCCCTTCCATTTTCGTGTCATAACTTTATGAGTTAGTGTGTCCATATTTCAGCAGCATCCTAATGGCAATTATCGATCACGTTTAGGATATAGATATATTATTTCATCATATGCTGTCCATTTACAACTTTGCATGACCGATAGACTTCTGTTTGTCTCGGTTTTACTCTTTCCATTTCATTGATGACGTTGTGAATTTTGAGGAGGTAGGCCTGCTTTGTCATCATACCTTTCCCCGTTGTTTTCCCATTGTTTCCCCTGATTTGGTACATATATCCTGACTATGCTAAGGATAGTACCTGAATCCTCAACTGCATGACCAAGATCCTACATGTACATGCTGACAAGACCCCTGTATCGTCACACTACCGTCATAATAGACCGATCCTGAAGCCCCGCCCACCTCCGTCAAAACATAGAAATACAAATATTGACGGACATGCTCTCATTGGTCGAACCGCTAATTGCCCTTCTCTCATTGGTTGAACTTCTGATTGTGATGGACATTTGGGATCGGTCTATCATCAAGCCGCGTCCTTCCCCCAACCCTTGTTAGCTTCATCAGTACCTGAAACATAACCCCTATTAGTACCCAAACCCATATATTTGCCCTTCCACCACACCCTTCTGCGGTTTTGTTGCATCTTTACGTGATAATCAATGTTGACTTGGTATAGAGGTCAGAGGCAAGAGGTCATCAACATGGCTGCACATCTGTTTTATGCGCCAAACTAAACTTGCCAAAAGGAAAAGGAGTTCTCTTTTTTTCAACAGGAAATTTCTGAGTCGACGAAAAAAAGAAATATATGTGAAGGATTTCACAAGAAACTTTGTTCAACCAACGTTGAAGATGTCAGCATCAACATGACTTAATTCCATCTTTTCTTCTTTATACGTTTCTAGCTATGGGAGACCTCAATATGATAGCTACCACAGACCTGATCCCAGTGAATGTAGACTCTTCTTTTTCTTGGAAACCGCGTCGTCTCGCGCAGAGGTCACATGTGGCATGCTGACTGCGCGAGAGAGAACTAACTGCTGCCTATGCCGAGGGAATATGCTCAGGAACGTAGTCTACATCATATCTGCTTAGATCTGCTCAGTATGTACCCATCTCCATCCATGAGTGCACGACAGGGGACGAGGCACCTTTCCTCCACTCGACATTCCACATTCTGTGATTGCACAACGTCTTTCGAAACGGATATTTCTGTCGTTGCCTGGGTTGCTGACTAAACGTGAACTTCCTACGAGAGTTACCAGCTGAGTAGCAGCATCTTTCCACCTCTATGCATGAACCATAAAAACGCTGTTAATACTATCGACTCAAGTGACCTTTGTTATTCGAATGTCAAGCACAATTACTGGTATGTGAAATCATTGGCAAGCTCATTCGTTTGATTGAATATGAATCGTGACGTACAAGCTAGTACAGAACGGCCCAAGGGTAAGCCATCATCGACTAGTTGAACCTTGGTAGCCATGGTGTTGACCCATGGCCTCTGACCTTTCCCAGTTAACCGACAGTTTGATTGAGTAAAATTGACCACACTTCCAACGTACCGCAGACATTACAAAACTAGTATGTGGGTATCTGAGACCATCGCCTAATATTCACTGGAAATGTAACAGTGTAGATCAGTGAAGACCAGCACGAACGTTTTTTTTGCATGGACAGCTACGGTTGTTTGAACGTCTCCACATCAAAATCTCTTTGAAGAAGAAAATGAGGATATGTCATGTACCGGGCGTTTGGATGAACTTGGACAAAAAGGACGACACTCTACACGTACCCGTGGTCGGTCCCAATATACCGATCCTTGACTGTCCATCACAATTATCATTTCAACCAATGAGGGAATAGCAACTAGCGATTCAGCCAATGAGAGAGCGGCTGTATGTCCGTCAGATATTTTCATTCGTGCGTTTTGACGGAGGTGGGCGGGGCTACAGGATCGGTCTATACCTGGAGTTGGTCTACCCCTTGGTCTACCGGTGACAGTGTCGCCTATGGCCCTACTGTACACTCTGAGAACTGCTCACTACCGCACGTGACCGACGGACAGGATCGAGGCGATTATTTCATGGCTTGCCATAGGATTTCAGCATGCAACCAATGAGAAAATGGCACCTAGTGATTCAGCCAATGAGAGAGCGGCTGTACGTCCGTCATTCGTGCGTTTTGACGGAGGTAGGCGGGGCTATCCGATAGTGACTGGCGGTGTGTCTGGGGCCTGCTACGAGAGGTGGTTTCCAGTCAGCCTGACATGACAACCAACAAACGGCCCCCGACTCATCAGGACAGCCAGTAGGACTCCACTGCCCGTGAACATGGCGAACTCACGTGTCGTGAGGAATCTCACACCGTGCATTTCCTCGTTTAAACCTGGATCAGCCTATTAGACCCACTGCTTTTACAAGTGGTCATCTGATCAAGAAAATGGTATCTCAGACTTCGTGGATACAGGAATCAAACTGACGATGATAGGTAATGATTTTTAAGAAAAAAAAACCGTTTCAGTCGTTTATTGTAAGCTGAGCCCACGTCATGTGTAGATAGATGGTGTAGCCAATTCTAAAAGACAATATAGGTAGCTGCCAATTTAGGGTTAAGAACGACTATGGATGGGTTGAACAGCTCTGTTTTTTTTTCTGGTTTTATCATAATTCTAATGTTTAATCGAGGAAGACGTGACCTAACCAGAACAGCTTAGCAATTATGAGTAAGGCCACAGCAATTAACTTTTATGGATGACATCAGCACTCGCATGTCTTTTTGCTCGATTTTGAAAAAAAATTGTTGGTCTCCGACAGTAGACAACATGCCGAAATTGGACAAAATGATGTGACCGTTTATCGGGTTCAGAGACCGTCAGCGGTCCAGCAAACTTGAGGCATGAACGCTTTCGTTTGAAGTGTTAACGGTCTAAGGTGTTTCTTTGCGTTTGAATAATCTTTTCTACAATTGTTGATTGAGATGCATCTACAAGGACAGGTGACACTGTTATATACACGAATAAAGACCTGTTGGTAGTGCTATAATGTTTTGTCGCCTCAACTCTTAAAAATGTAGGAATATTGTTTTTTGGACCGCTCTTTTTTTCGACCTATCGCATTACATTTTGAGTCTGCGGTGGATGTCATCCATATAATTTCCTTACTGTGGCCTAAGATGCAGAGGTTGGAAGCCCTGCTGTACCATTTGATGTTGCATCTAGCCTTCCTCTCTGCAATCCCAACAGTCCCCTTTTAACAACGACATAAGTGTGGTGACC